GACCAATGTTCCACGTTCACTTACGCCCCCCCCCTCACCCCCCATCTGAGCAAATACGACCTTCTCTCGAAGCATTATTCATCTACTCATTGGTAAGTAGGACGTCTGAAGCCGGCCAAGTACAGTGTGAGATAGATTACCTTTGCCTACAACCCCACATCTTTACGAAAAGATCTGTGTTGCGAGCTGCGAAACCAGCTTCAGCAAAGCCGTTATGAACAGTTACTAAAGGCAACACTTTTCGAAGTTTTTATTATTCTCTAAGTTTATTTAATCATATATTTAGCCGCACTTAGAGAAATTTTTGTAGATTGCTCCGTAAATAAATGAATAAAATGTAAAACATAAACTCATGATTGACATACGAGAAGCAGTCTTAATTGATACTCCAACTGTTTACACCTCAGCGGGACTACTGAAAGATTATTAGATATGGTCGCCTTTGGCTTGGGGTATCCATTTTCGTCCTGGCCACGCATAGATTGTAGGGGAATTCGGCCAATTCCTTATTGAGCGACTTTAGAATTTGTATTAGGTCGTGAAGAAAGTTCTTGCGCTTTTCGGTGTTTCGTTTTTGAACGCTTTATTTTGTTACGAATTCAAGCAAGCTGCCAATGAGCTGTATGTGGTTTTGAAGAGCTTTTCTTGTTCTATCTAACAGCTAGGCTAGCTATGTTCCTTATTATTAGTTGTCATTTTTTGAAGCCTTGAATACGGCATACTCCAAGAGCAAATTTGCATGATTTCCTTTTTCTAGCTCAAAGCAGGCCAGTATGGAGAGGAAGCAGGTCAAGATATTATAGATGCACTTGGCTGAGATTCGCAATAAATATGGTCTGAAGCAATTGTTCAAAAAGCTTTTGTAAGAATAGCGAGAGCCCTAAAGATTGTGAGGGTGGTGATCGGAGATTGGACAACGCCAACGATTAGTCGAACGTTCTGGTTGAAGCACGTTTGCACAAATCTATTGAGAGGGTTCCTCCTAAACTAATCGCACTTGCATTGTGTTTTCTTGTTGTACGGGAAGAGCTGGAAAGTCCCAAAAATTCAAATAGGGCGTGCCGCGACAGCTCACCATTTTGAAGGGTCGTTCGCCGCTTTCTAGCTTGTTTTATGCCATGAAAACGACCTGATGACCTGATTTTTCAATAATTTGCGACGTAAACGGATTCTTTGCTACAAGCGCATTGTTGAAGTGATCGACCGCGATCAGGCTCTACAAACTTTGCAAAAGTGAAACTTCACTGAAGGAAGGTTGAGGTGACTTTCATAAGGTCAGCGGCTGGTCTAGCTTTTCGTAACCAGGTGGATCTGTTAATGTGGAAAAAGTACTCCTGATAATGTGTCAAATTACTCCTAGAACTCTGGCACATATGCTCGAAATTCCTCATTATAAAGGAACCGGCTCGTCCCTGACAGGTAGCTCGGACGCACATTCCACAACCAACCCTGCAGAAGTTGAACAAGATTGGCTACGAATTAGTGCTGCTTCTCCTACTCGGTAGACCTTTTGCCTATAATTGTCACTTTCTCGACTACCTGGATAGCTTCTCCAAAGAGTTATGCTTCAAAACCCAACATGATGCGGAAACGACCTCCGCCGGGTTCATCATCTCTAGAGCTCCAGTATTCTGCACTACCGGGCTGATTCAACGCAGCTATTATTGGCAGAGGTTTGTGGATTCTAACAGTCTTTACTCCAATCAAAAAGGTTTCGAATGAGCCGAGATACAGGCATTTGAAAATCAAGGTCGAAAAGCGCAAGAACTTTCTTCACGACCTAAAAAT